ATCGGATGCGCGCGCATAATGGTGTTGGTAGTGAAGGTGAAAAGATAGAACACATGGGGAGGGGGTCGGAGGTGGCATACGCGATGTGTACGCGAATCGGTGAAAGAACCTGTGAAAGAGCGGGAAATTCGCGATGAGAACCAGAGAGGAGATAGATAGCGAGACACGGCATACAAACTCCTCTGCAATCTTCCACTCGCACTCTCTCTCTCTCTCTCTCTCTCTCTCTCTCACTCACTCTCGCTGTCTTGCGCACGCTTATTTACACATATGCACGTGCGCTTACACACACACGCGCGCGCGCGCGCGCGCGACCCTGCACGCAACACAACATCGTATATTCATCTCTGTTGCACGTGCGCACGACATGCGAGGGTTGCTCGGCAAACATTGAAAGACAGAGAGAGAGAGAGAGAAATGAGCTCGCGGTACCGGCAGTGCACTCTAATCCGCGTTGCCGATCGCCCAGTTCTTCTCATCTCTCTCTCTCTCTCTCTCTCTCTCTCTCTCTCTCTCTCTCTCTCTCTGCCTATCACCGTCCCTGTCTCACATCCTGTACGACGGACGCTGCACTTGCGCGCGCGATGATCCTGGAGAGAAGGGCGCGCGTGGGTACTTGAGGTTTACGGGAATGGAAGGCTGGTTATTAGGTGTTTTCGGCTGATTAATGGGCCGGCCCTTTTCTTTGGGATTCCCGCTACCGGCGAACAATCGCCGCACGCACGCGCAAACACAGCCGATCGAGGTACGCACTCGCGAGCTGTTTGCCCTTCGATTTGCGCGTCAGCTAATTATCGGAATAGTGCGCCGTAACTTTTTAACGACCGATAGTCCGTCTCGCCGCCGGATTAACGGAATCGCTTTCGGACTCGGCGAGGAGACGCGTGCTTCCTTAACTTTTATTGACGCGAAGCGGGATTGTGAGATTCGCCGACGAAGCGGGGATTATTGACGAATATGTCGATGTTTCCCAGGCCTACCACTGCCCTATTTTGCCTTTGGACGATAATATGGTTCGATATTGCTTTCGATATTAAAATATCCGTGATGAAAGGGGGAGCAACTTAGCTCGATAGCTTTAGCATTCGCTAGATAAAGAAAATGATTTATCGAGATTTCCTTCTTCTCGTGAGCATCTTATGGTACTATGAAGCAGCGCCTCTGGCTCAACAACAGTGAGTATCGCCCGTCGATTCGGCATGCCTAGGTAAAGTCATTAATTTCATGTTGTTTACATAAACGTGAGAGTTATGTTGAGGATTATATTTAATGGAGGCTGGATTGAGCTTGACTTATATTGTTCGTCAATAGGCGATTTCGCTTGTGTATAAGGAAAAAGACAACTCTATCGACTAGATGGACCATTACATTTTAGCCAAGATTTTGTGAAAAATAGTGATTAAACCGATAGAGGGATGTCATTGCCGATTGACATAATAAAGGAAAAGTGAAGCAATTTACATTGAGCAATGGGGAAAGAGCGGTGTAACTTAAGTGTACTTAAGTTAAGACTAATATTAAAGAAAATATTTAATAGAAACTACAAAATTAAGTATAAATATATCGTTCGTTAGAATTGTCATTTTCCGTTCGACAACTTATTTCACCGGACAGCAATTGTTTGGAACAATATTTATATTCATAAAGTTTTTGCATTAGGTAATTTGTATTATGAATTCTTCTATTTCGAATTAAGTGCAAAAGTTATTTTCAACTCTAGAGAACAACGTCTGTCGATAAATCTACGAAATGCGATAAATTTAACATCAACCTGTTTCCACATTTATACCAGTTTATTGGAAACTAATCCAACTACGTACTTGTTACACTTTTCTTTGTTGGAGAAAAAGATGAAAATCTAGTAATTTTTAATTATAAAAACGAAAATACATTAAAATTTATCTATCGGTGTGGAATGATATTTCGATGTTAATTATTACCTTGCAAGTACTTACTTTTTGTACATGTGCATATCCGTTGTGTATTTAAGAGTTTCGTTTATTCGTCGGATAACATTTCCAATACACTTTATTAATCCATTTACTATCTAATTTCTAAAGCATTTTAACAACATGAAATATAACTTCTTACGATATACATATAATACGTAACTCTTGATTATTAAGAAAATTCATCGACTATCATACATATATTATGATAATATTCTATTTTATATTTTATATATCATATTTTATTAATAATATACTATATTATACTATTCATAATATCATTTATCGTACATTATTTAATTATTATAATATAGAGTATTTGAAGAATAAAGATATATATTGTAATATGTAATTTATTGTTTTCAAATTCTTTCCATTTTTATTGGATAATACGATTCTCCTTGATGTTTATTGTTGCAAATTAAGCGCACATAAGTGAAAATTAGCTTTAAGTTACTGTACGGTTATATCTTATGCTACACCTTTAATC